TCTGAATTATCATATTTAGAACATCCCAGCCTTGTTTTAATATATGATTTCTTTTGACAGTTAGGATTTCTATAGTAAGAGCAAAGATGGACAAACTATGGATTTTGCTTCCAAGGCTTAAAACCTTTCTCCTGGTCCAATTAAACTGTTCTTCTGTTTGAAAACTAGCAGAACATCAACCTAATACAGATTATACTGTTCCCTATTGCCAATATCAGTTGCCTTTGCTCTGGTTTGTAGCTAAAGAGTAGTGTCCTCATTTTCTCTGCAGAAAAGTGTATGCTGAAGCCACCTCAACAATGATGTCAGCAGGATATCATCCACCTGTCACAACATAGCTATGATAGGCAATATTTTTGACTGACGGCTAGATTTGTGGGTTTAGCCATTTGTCAGAATTTGTCTTATTTACCTATCTTTTAACCTGAGATTACCTGTCAGGGTTAGGAGAGGTGGCTGTGATAGCATAGCTGACAGTACATAGAACAGAAGTACACTAAACCTGTGGTCAAAAACAGCCCAAACGGAGCTGACAGATGCAGTAGGGAGACGATGTCATGAAACTGGCCTGCTCTGCTCTGCTTTACCATGCAGCCTCCATCCTAGCTGCTGATCTCACTCTATAAACCAGGGAACAGCTCAGAGACTAACAGATATATGGGGAGAGCTTGTTTCAAAAGACCTATACTCTTCCATTGCACCAGAATAGAATGGCCGTCAAAGATAGTCCCAGGGACCAGAGGGGATGGGCCAGCACCAACTAAAGTGCCCAATAAGCTATAAGCTGATTTTACCTAGGACTCATCTCCCAATTCCAGTGACAAAACAGTCAGTGATAAAACTGGCTTATTGGCTGCTTAGGGGAAAAAAAACACTACTTTAATGGAACTATTAAGGTTGACTTTAAACTGCTAGTATGGGTTTCAGCAAGATACCACCAACATCTTGAGTACAGGGCAGAAAAATAGTTGCCAAACATGACTAGCTCTGGTAGAGAAAGGACCAAAATTCTATCTTTTTTAAAAAAAAGTCAAAATATCCTAGATGTTACAAACTATGAGAAAGAGTGCTACTCTCCTGAATGGCTACAATTTATAACCCAGAGTTTTTAAGTTTCTTATGATCATCCGCTGTCTGGATAATTACAGACTTTTGTATGCCAGCTTTAAGAGTAACTTTGACTCTCTCTCTTTTGGTAATGTCTTTAGTAGAGCATTAATTATGTGATACTTTTTCTTCCAGGATCCTTTAACAATTGTCAGGGAAGAGTGTGCAAAGATAGAACAATGTGCAAAAGCTCTGGAACGTTTAGAGCAGTGTAATACTCGGGTATCCTCCAGATCTCAAACACTGGAAGAGTGTACAGAGGAGCTCTTTGATTTCCTGGAAGCTAGAGACCATTGTGTGAGTTGATTTTAGCATGACTTTTATGCAAGGTTATGTAAAATAATTATATGCATCAAATGAACTTATAATTCTCAAACTTTGTTGCCCCTTACTGTTTAGAAAATTATGGATCAGCAGTTTGTAAATAAAACAAACTTCTGTAAGTAAACTGTAAGAATAAATTGTGCAAGAAGTAGATCAATATATTTTTTGCTTAAATTCTTGTTTTCATTTGTTAATTTCTTGGTTTACAGGTAGCTCACAAACTCTTCTCCAAACTGAAATAAATCTTTATTCAATCATGTCAACTTCTTCATATCTGATGAAAACTTCACAGTCATGTGACCTGCTTCTATGAAAGATTGATCCTTTTTTTTGTTTGGTTATTGCATCATAGTACTTCTGTATTATTCTGTGGACGATTTGCAGTGTTAACAGTTTCTGTACATTTCCACATTAAACATTTACTGTAAAAAATAAAACAGTTGTGATAACTACACGTCCTCTTTTAAAACAGCATTCCGAAAAATTATGGCATTTTCAGATTTTAAGTGACAGAATTTTAACTGCATGTCTATGTGTGGATAGATAAATTTCCTGAGTTTTTAAGATTTTAAAAATCCAGAAAATATAAGGAAAATAAGTGGAAACTGCTACTAGAAAAGCAACTAATAACCATGATGAGGACAAGATGCCTTACAATTAACAGAGAAGGGAAAGCTTTTACAACATTTTGGTCTTTGAAAGTCTATCTATCCTAAAGACTAAAGAGGCAGGGAAGCATTTACTAAATAGAGCAGCCTCTTAGTATCTGCTACTCCTCTGTTACTGATGCTCAGAAGTTGGGGCGGGGGAAGCATATTGCCAAAATAAAGCAATATACAATCTCCACAGATGGGCTCAAATAGGAGGAAATCCTAATAAGGAAAAAAAATCCAGTTGCATATATAGTCTCCTTGATGTCAGTTTCTGGAGACACGCAGGCCGGTCAATTGCTGTTCAAAATCCGGAGACAGGAGGTGGGGGAAGTGGACCCAGCACTTGCCGGAAACAACGCTAGGAAGGGTTAAAAAAAACCAACAACATCGATGTCTCCTGTTATTTCATTGGTTTCTGCCACGACACCTCCTTTGTCGATACGCAAAAATTGCAACAGGTTGCAAAAGCAGTAAACGGTCAAAAGTAGAGATGGATGAAAGAGGCAGAAAACACGTTAAATCGGTTCACTGAAATCTTAGTCGGCATGGTAATATTCAATTAAATACAGATGGTTTTATGGCCAATATTCCATTTCTTGTTGAAACTAATTTGTCCACTGAATAATATACAATTTTAATAATATACAATTTTAATATACAATTGCTAAGAGCCTGACATTTGGGAAAGGGGTTCTGGAAAAGCGCGTTTTGCCTTTTACCTTGCCGAGGTGCTCGAAGCAGCCATTCACCGACCCGAATAAAACGTAACTGCTTGCCCCAAACTAAGCTACGTACAAAGCGGGCGTGTAATTTCCTGGGCTACCCCACTGAGACACTGCCAATAACATAAAAACACCCGAAACGCTTGAAATTCCCAACGCAGCTGCTCGATTTCCGGTTACGTTTTTCCCGCGGGCGACGGAACGATTTTGCGCGTCGACATCAGCCAGGGGAGCTTAAAACAGTGTGGCTCCGAGGAGGCGGAGGAGTTGCTGCCGGACCGCCCATCCACCGGCCCTTGATCCCGCAGTCGAGCATGGCGGTTGCACACCAGGCAAAGGGGAAGCGGTTCCTCCTGCAGTATCTGCGGAAAGGCTCGCCTTCGTTGTTTGTCTCGGCGCCTTGTCGGCATCGCCATTACAAGAAGAAATGGGTGGGTGAGGAGGAGGGAAGCGGGGCGCCACTCGCGCACGCGCGTTCGTTATCTCCCCCGCCTCATCAACATGCGCAGCCCCTTAGCTAGAGCGCAGCCCCATCGCAAGCCCTTCGTAACCCCACCGAACCGTTTCGACCTAATTGCTCGTCCCTCCCCGGTTTTCTCTTATACCAGTGTTTCTCAACCTTGGCAATTTTAAGGCATGTGGACTTCAACTCCCAGAATTCCACAGCCAGCAATGCTGGCTGTGGAATTCTGGGAGTTGAAGTCCACATGCCTTAAAATTGTCAAAGTTGAGAAACACTGTCTTATACGCTTCCCATCCTTTCTTTCCTCTCTTTATTAGAATTAACCCTTCCCTGATCGTATTAGACAAGTGTTTCTCAAACTTGACCACTTTTTTTAAGATCTGTGGATTTCAATTCACAGCGTTCTCCTGCATGGCTAGCTGGGGAATGGTGGGAGTTGAAGTCCTCACATCTTAAAAGTGGCCGAGGTAGAAAAACCACTATAGGGCTATAGCCTCAAACTTTCTCTTTCTTAAGATATTGGACCATGTCCTCTTGGTGATTTAAAGGAAAACTCCCGTTTTTCCAAATGGAAGGAATGGTCTTAAACACATTGAAATACAGAATGATGATTGAGTAGCTTTGTATTGGATTATGCTGATTATTCTGTCTAAACAAATGTATCTCCTGAAGCCCAGTCCGATGCATGATTTTTTTTGGAAGTAAGTCCCAAGGAATTTTATTATTGAGTTATCAAGTGTTACAAAACTAGCCTATATCATTTTATTTAAATAGACTGAAATGTGTAGTGTTTAAAGCCAGATTATAGTCTTTTATCAGTAATCTAAGTTTGGCTTCTTTTATTGATGTTCTTTATTAAAGGAGATGTGTATCTTGGGATAAGAGGATTTCCCCGTTTTGATTTAGATATGTGGAATATAATGTGATAAATAATTTCAACAATTGTTGCAATTAAAGCATATTCATTTAACATATAGTTTAACTCAGCTGACTGAATTTGACTCTTGAATACAGATAATTCTCAGCTTACGATTACAATTGAGCCCAAAATTTATGATGCTAAGTGAAACATTTGTTAAGTGAAGTTTGCCCCATTTTATGACCTTTCTTGCCACAGTTCTTAAGTGAATCATTGTAGGTGTTCAGTTAATAACACAGTTCTTAAGTGAATCTAGTTTTCCCATTGACTTTGCTTGTCAGAAGGAGGCAAAAGGTGGTCACATGATCCCAGGACACTGCAATCGTCATAAATATGAGTCAGTTGCCATGTGTCTTAATTTTGATCACATAACCATGATCACATAACCATGCGGATGTTGCAGTGCTCCTAAGTATGAAAAACGGTTATAAGTCACTTTTTTCAGTGCCGTTGTAACTTTGAACATTCACTAAACAAACTGTTGTAAGTCAATGATTACCTGTCCAGGTTTTCTTGCAGAAGAAAACTTCTAGAGTATCTTCTTGCCTATAAAGAGGGAAGGCGTGGAGTTGATAATCTGGGTTTTTCTTAGTTCAAAGTAGGTAGAAAATAGTGGTGTGGGCCTAGCTTCATGATTACAGTGTTCATTCACATTTATCAACCATGTGGGGCATTGCATGTTGAAATATGTCTATTCTATGTGTATGAGGGAGAACGCAGCAGGCAATCCCAATTTGGAAATATTGTTTCTTCATTATCAGTGACAACTATAAAATGTTCCCCATTGGATGATTTATTTTTATTCTTATATAGGCAGCCACTGCTCCTCGGGCAAATAATACCAGAGTGGCTCTCCAAGTCTTCGACATGAACTATGGAGACCAGTTTGGCAGCCTCTGGCCTTCAATTCGCATCAGTCTCCTGTCAATGCAAAAATATGGGGCCCTAGTCAACAATTTCTCTGATGTAGAGCAGGTCATTCAGAGTCTGGAAAACCTCAATGCAGTAGATTTCATCCAAGAATCTCAGGAAGTAATTGAGGAATTAGATTCCTCCATTGAAGAAGATGACAGTGTGCCAACTTCATCTCCCCAAATCCAGACAGAACTTTCAAAGACTCAGGCACAATATTTTCCTTCTGTCAGTCCTAACATCAAATGTTACACATTCCCCAAAGGAGACATCAGTCGTTTTCGTCAAGCCAGGTATGAATTTGTTGGATTTTTAGAATGCTTATAAAATTTTCCTCAAATAGCCATTTTCTATTCTTCTTAAGCTTGCTGGTTTGCTTCAGAGAGTTTTTTTTAATTTAGTAAAATAGAAGACAAAAGAACAAAAAGATCTTGTGCTTTTTAAATGTATTTTCCCCTGGCTGCAACATCAAAAATGCACTATTATAGATCATATATTTATTTTAGCATGTATGTGTAGTTTTCCTAAGTCTGACCAAGGCAGTTGATAAAAGGTTCAAAATACAACACATATTATAATTGTAGTCTATAAAATCAAAGCTTCGAATACACTAAATCTTCCAAAGTATTATATTACAGTTGAGATGCATATTTAGTCTCTAAAACTAAGGCAAGACACTTGCAGTATAAATAATTGTCTGCTTCAACCAGAATAGACAATTAGATATGATGGAAGCTGATCTATTAATATTTGGATGGCCTAGTATTCTTATACTTGTTTTTGTATAAAATCAAGCAGAAAAAAGTTAAACATGAAAAACAAAAAAAGTTAAATATGAAACCCAAAAAGGTGGCAGAAAACTCTTTTTCAAGATACAGTTTCGTGTGTGTGTGCATCCATTTGCAATGCTTGTATGTTTCATCTAATATATTTCTTTGACTTGCAGACCAGACATCGTAGGAATTCTTGGTTACTATCTCCTGGATGCTGCCTCGATTTTACCTGTTTTGGCTCTCAATGTACAGCCTGGAAGCATGGTCCTTGATCTTTGTGCAGCCCCAGGTGGGAAGATGCTGGCACTTTTACAGACTGGGTGTTGTTGTAAGTAACATGGTTTACTAATGTTGCTTTCCCAAGTTTAGATGTTTCATTTGTAGTATAGGCAGAAGAGTTGCTGAAACTGTTCTTTTGGAGTTTTACATAGAATAAATTCTCATCTTTCAAATTTGGCAATTTTAAGATAATGTGGATTTCAGCTTCCAGAATTCCCCAGCCACTGTGGCTTATATTCTTGTGAAAATATACTTCTCATTTGGAATATAGAGTTGGGAATATTACAACATGTTATGTGCATATTGATTGAAAAGTGATAGCCTCCCCCATAACAATCCACAAAATTGACTTTCACTTTTATACATGGAGTGCTACAGCCTTATGTTTTTTTTTGCCACTTGTAGGCTGTCATTCCAGTGAAAGATTTTGGAGGAGAAGATGCTCATATGCTTTCTCTTTGGAGAAGGGCCACATAGCTCAGGTGTAGAAAATGTGTTTTGCATGGGAAAACTCCCAAATTTCATCCATACTACTTTCAGCTGGTACAGAAAAACTCATTGCAAACACTTCTACCATGCAGTGTAGAAAATATGTAATAGGTAAGTTGTTTTGTCTCGGTAAAAAGTATCTTTCTCTTTTACTGCAATATCCCAATTTTCCAGTTGGAACCCTAAAAAAATTGAATAAAATAAAATAAAAATAATTCCTTAAAATAATAAAAAATAAGACATAAAAGACTAAGATACTCACCAACTTAACCACCAGTTCCCCTGCTTGCTATGGCTTCTGGTCATGCAAAAATGCTCTTCTTTGTGGTACATTTATTGATTTCTTTATTTCTTGAATATATGTGCATCTCACGTAAGTAATTCTTGACTCAAAGATTCATACATTGAATCACGGCTACAGTCATAGTAACTTAAATCGTAAATGGATGTAGTCTGATGTGTGAATTTACTCAAGATCCAGAGGCAATCTAGATTCCACTAAGGCGTTCACATTTGCATCCTCAGCCAAAGGATGGCAATCATCTCAATCAAAGGGAGATAATGTTCAGATAGATTATTTTTTATGAGGGTATATCTGGTGACAAGTCAACGGACAGTTCTTCAGTTTCCTCCTCTATTACTTCGTCTGAATAGATGACATTGGTTTGATAGGCAAGATAGCTACATGTACTAGTGAGTAAGTGGGAAAAGGGTGAAAGAGAATGATCTATAGATACTTGAGAGAGATTGCACACATTACATAGCAAGATAGCTATCATTTCTATGTAAATTTATATCTGTTATTGAAAGAATCTGAGATATGCTATCCTTGATTTAAGCGTCTGTTCTTGAAATAGGTGAGCTGACAGCCAATGATCTCTCTGGTTCTCGCACTATCCGGCTACGTAACGTCCTCCGCAGCTATCTCCCCAAAGAGATCCAAAATGTAGTGCGGGTTACCTCGTTGGATGGAAGAAATTGGTCCCAGACAGAAACAGGCACTTATGATAAGGTAAGTATCTTCTAACTCTTGCTACTGGAAATTGAAACACCTTTATTTCTTAATAAACCAGGATATCATTTAGATTTTTTTTTTCATTTCTTGTACAGAATAGTCCTTGCCCCTTTACTAGATCATCTCTAGAATTCTCCCTTGAGTGGTAGTAAGCTTATAGCCAAGACTGATACAACAAGTTTTTGGAGTTTATAATCTTAAAATTAACAGTTAATATCCATTTAAGAATGCTGTAATAAAAGCCTTGATCATCTATCCTTGATTATTTGTACCCTGCAATCAGTAACGCATGCCTTGATTTAGTTCCCAATGAAACTACTGTAATACCTTCAAATGCAGCAGCAGAAGCCAATCCCTCCAATCCAAAGTAATACCTATTTTAAGTTTATTGTATCGGTTACCAATCAGCTTCTGTACTGAATTCAAATGCTGTATATTATCTTTAAAACCCTACAGGGCATAACACTGAGTTAGCTCAAGCAGTGCTTTGTCAGAATAGAACTTGCTTGCTTGATCTAGTCATCTGAGCAGGGGTCCCCAACCACCAGTCCGTGGACCAGTACCGGGCTGCGACATGCCAGCAACCGGGCTACATGAAATAAGCAAAGCCCCATCCATGGGATGCAGGCAGCACACAAAACCATGCACCCTCTGGTCCGTGGAAAAACCTCTCTTCACGGAACTGGTCCCTGGTGCCCAAAAGGTTGGGGACCTCTGATCTAGAGCAGTGGTCCCCAGCCTTTCTGGCTCTGCAAATTGGCCGCTGTAGTGGCAGGGGGGGAGGGGATGGTTTTGGGGGGTATGCCTGCTACTTGGTAAATGGAGCTTCACAAACCTGTCCACTGCTTGCATGGCCCAGTTCCCAGTGGGCCGTGGACCAGTACCAGTCCACGGACCAGGGGTGGTTGTTCCAAGTTTATTCAGAAAACTTCGCAGCAGACCAGAAATGTGAATCTTGGTTTCCCAGTCCTGGTCTAGAACCATAATGACTTTAAGCATTTGCTTACATACATTGGATCGAAGAGTAGTTATTGCTATAACTAGAATTGCAAGAGATGGTCAGTATTCCTGTCATACTTTTTTCAAACCAACCTGACAACCTGTTTCTTTCAATTTCTAAAACAAAGAAAGAAAAATAACAAATTTCTAATTTGTACTGTGGTGGAAAATCAGCTTCAAAACTTTCCTTGGCTTTTCACTGTACATGGAAATAGATTTAAGTGTCTAACCTAAACTTGTCTTTAATGTAAAGAAATTGTGTAGAAATTTACCAGAGGGAATATTTGTTTGGTTTCATTTAGGTACTTGTTGACGTGCCATGCACAAATGATCGAAAGTCAGTCTTGGAAGAAGATAACAATATCTTCACATACGCAAGAAAAGGGGAACGTCAGATGTTGCCAATGCTCCAGCTGCAACTGCTCATGTGAGTGATTTTGACATGTTGTCAAAAACATTCTTGAATGCTCCAGATAGCTCAAAAACATTTTGTTCCTCTCTTGCTCTGGACCATGCAATTCCAAAGATGGTCTTACAATTTCCAGAAGAAGAGCTTACGGACAGGGATTTAATTTGTGGTGGTCCAGTTACAAGACACATCAAACAGTTTAAGTTCAGAGGATTTACTTCCATAATTCAATGAATTGCTCTCAGAATAGAGCAGAAGTTGGAATTAAAATTATTGGAATAAATATAAGTAACCCCAGATATGCTCGTGATATTACATTAATGGCTAGAAGTGAGGAAGACTAAATCACATGTTGAAGATGAAAGATGGGAGTAGAAAAGCCAGTCTGATGCTTGGTGTGTTTTTTCTTAAAACAAACAAACAATCAAACCCAACACTGTAAAATTGTGTCAACTTCTAGTATCAACCCTCTGCCAATAGGCAGAGAAGTAGCAATACACATTATTTTCCTAGGGTCAAAACTGCACAGAGATGGTTTCTGTAACCATAAGAAAAAAGATGTCTGCTACTTAGGAGAAAAATTATGGCAAATCTAGATATATATTTATAGGCACACTTTACTGCCATCCATGGTAGATGTTATCAGGCAAGTCTTCTCAATCATAAAGTGGCTGTCATAAATGCAAAATAAAGAAAATCTATGCTTTTGAATTGTGATGCTGGAGAAGATTGTTGGGAATATCTTAATTGGCAAGAAGAATCAATACTAGATAAAATAAAACCAGACTACTGATTACAAGAACTAATAATGAAGTTATGTTAAATATTTGAGAGTATAACGTGAAGGCAAGGTCATTGAAGAAGACCCCAAGCTTCAAAAAAAATCAAAGGCAGTAAACAATCCTGGTGATTTATTATCCGTTGGGTGGCAAAGAGCTTGAAGTGATGGAATGACCAAACAACTAAAATATTACCCATTATGAATCTGCAATTTCAACTACATTAATAGTCTTATACCCAGCAATCTTCCATTCTTGAACTAGATTTTTTGAAAATTCCATCATACTCAATTACGCTTTTTCACTATGTGATGGCTGGGAGAAAACAATACTGCTGGCAAGGATTTCATTCTCTTTGGCTGGAGGCCAGATTTGAATTTTGAGAAAATGAGGTTGGACTGGCATAAGTATGCAGGGGCTTCCCATTCCCAAATTTGCTGAATGCTGGTGTACCTCGTAACAACAAAAAAAAAAAAAAGGCAAGTGTGACAGACAGGATTCCATGGGAGGTGTCTGAGTGCCTATAACCATTATTTTTAGGAACTCAGTAAATTAATGACATATTAACAAGGCAGGAAAAGGAGAATCGATTCTGTATATATTTGGGGCCCAAAATATAGTCTAGGCCTAGGCCAGGGGTAGGCAACCTCGGCTCTTTTATGACTCGTGGACTCTTTTATGACTCATGCTGGCTCAGGAATTCTGGGAGTTGAAGTCCACGAGTCATAAAAGAGCCGAAGTTGCCTACCCCTGGCCTAGGGTAAGGATTCCATGTGCATTCTTGCACTGGCATATGGTATATGCATCACTCTGTTGAATAAGTGGGCCAATACAGTTGATAGTCATCCCCCCCCCCCAATAATTTCTTTCCTTTTTTTTTTTTTCTTCAGAGCTGGAGTCCTTGCTGCTAAGCCAGGAGGAGAGGTGGTATATTCCACATGCTCTCTGTCTGAGCTCCAAAATGAGTATGTGGTTGAGAGAGCTGTGGAGTTACTAAACATCCAGTACAGCATCAACGTGACAGTAGAAGACTTGAGGCATTTTCGGAGACTGTTCCAGAACACATTTTCTTTCTATTCAAATTGTAGACTTGGAGAACTTATCCTGCCCCACCTCACAGCTAACTTTGGACCCATGTATTTTTGCAAATTGCACAGAATGAACTAGATTGAAGAAAGGACAGTACATTATTAAATATCTCTTCAAAAGATGAAATGGAATTTACAAAAAGCCACAGACATTTTATTTTGTAGGTTACATGCCTGGGCCCTTTACATGTCATTCAATGCTTGTTTTTTGCAAGGAAGTACTTACTTCTCTGCATGGGCAGTCTAACCAGATAGAAATTCCATTTACATGCTACTAATAAGTTGCATTTACATACATCTAATTATATAAATATTTGTGTACCTGCATCACAGTTTTGAGTTATACTGTATACATTAGAAAATATCCAGCTGGGCAGTATCAGATGTAGGAGGGCTTCAGGTTTCAGAAAACTTTATACCATGGTATCCTATCTGTGAATTTGAGAGTTGTGAACCCCCAGTCTCTGGAGGTTGCCAGGCTGGGAATGGTTGTATTGGAGACATTTATGCCACGTGTATATCAGAATTACAGGTCCTTGGAAAAATCTGTGAGCTTGTAGTCTGAAGACACTAAGGTTGAAAGGAAAGCAGTTTTGTTCTTATCAGATCCCTAAGTAGTTAATACACAGTAGAGGGTATTCTTTAGATTTTTCCCTTTTTTGTTGTTGTTTTTTTTGAAGTCTATACGTCATAAATTTGCCAAGGTTGAGAAAACTATGTAAGAGGACATTGACCAACTAAGCAAACAAAACCAGCTAAGCATAGCTGCGACAATGCCCAAACAACCCAAGCTAAAAGACTTTTTTCAGATAATGGACACTGTAAGTAAGTCTCCTTTTCTCCTTTCATCCCCCCTTGTGACCCTGGCAAACAAACCTAGCCCTCTTCTGGATTGGGAAGAGGACGATTGCTTCTCTGTGGAGGAGGGAGTTGCAATTCCAGTAGGAGTTAGAGGGGAGAATAAGAATAATATTAGGAACAGACTTCTGGTTTGCTGACGCGGCTGACACAGACGTTTGGGAGGCGAGCTCCATCTTCCACATCCGATTTCGCATCGCTGGGGGACTCTGGAAAGGGTCGAACGTTGCCCTGTAAGGGCAACAAGCAAGGAGTGGATCCCCGCTTGATCGTGGGAGGGTGGTAGCCCTTCCGCTCGATCCGGGGCAACCCTCCAAACCGGCAGACGAAAGACCGGCCATAGAAATATGGCTCGTCACAGCTGCAGACAGCCGAAGTCAAATTTACCATCAGGCAACTATAAAGCGGCATGGATGAGACTGGGTGAGGTTTATCTCTCTTAAATCCTAACTTTTTCTACCTGCATAAGCTGCTCAAAGTACTTTCCCCTCTGTGGAGAGGGAAGGGAGATTCTATCCCTCCCTCTAAAAATAGCGGCGACTAACTATCCAGGGGAGTTTAAAATGTTGCAAGAATAACTTGATTCTAATTGGATTTTTATCTTTTTAAAATTTGTGGACTAAAAGATTTTTTATTCTTATTGAAGATCTGGGTTTTTACTTAGAAAAAAGAAATAAAATTGAAAAGATTATAAAAATTTTGGATTTAAAAGAAAACTCTAAATGGTATGGGCGACATCTTGTGGCTAAACCTGATATTACAAATTGTTATTGCTTAAAAGAGACTTGGCTTGTAGCCCAGACTATAGATAAGATTTTTGTAATCTTGACAGATAGCAGCTATGAGAAGCCCAGCTGTATTCTATACTCAGTGACAATTTTTTTTTGCATTTTCTGATTGAAAAGCTTTTAACTTAACACACTACTAAGAGAACATGGATGAAGATCAGGAACAGATTCTCTTTATGTTGAAAGCAATCCATGAAACTATTCTTACAGCTACTAATGAAATAAGTTACAGGAAAGAACCAGATGTCAGCCTAGATCAGTGGTGGTGAACCTATGGCACGCGTGCCAGAGGTGGCACTCAGCCCTCTCTGTGGGCACGTGTGCTGTCGTCCCAGCCCCGCCTCCCCCCATGACCCCCTCCTTACCAGCAGCCCCTCCAGAGGAGAGTGCCCCCGAGCGCGGCCTGGGCATAGCAGCGCAGCCAAGAACATGGCAGCCAGGCAGCGGGGACAAGATTCCCCCCTCACGCCCTGTCACGTGCAGATGATGTGGGCAGAGGGCATGGCTGCCATGCACTGCTGGGCTGCCTGGGCAATTTGCGGTGGGCCGTGTAGGCGGAGGATGGCCCTGCGGACAGGCAGAGCACAAAGCGGGGGTGGAGCGGGTAGGGGCAGGGAGATGGGGATGGGGGAGGGTTTTGGGCACTCAGTCTCTAAAAGGTTCGCCATCACTGGCCTAGATATATGAATCCAAACTTTGATTACAACTAAAAAATCAACTACACAGAATATAATAGAAGTGAGACAATTAAATACTACAACAGAAGATTCAACTAATGAACAAACACAGTTAATAGAAAACCCAGAAAAGGGACTGATAACATGGAAAAGGGAATAGACTATATAAACCAGAAGAAACCTGAGGATCAAGAAGAAGAACAGACTGAAGAGAAGATAAAACAGTTCAGGACAACACGTCAAGATGGAAAAATAGACGATTTGTTAGTCCTTTCAAAAAAAATGGCGACCAGATGGCTTTTTCTACTTCAAACAACATACATAATAACACAGGGAGATTTATTTGGTGACTTAAAAGCACGGACATGGAAAACGACTTGGCAAAAGAAGAAAGCTAGAATAAGACTGAAGAAAACTGGGGTTTCGATTATCAGTGAGAATTAAAATAGAACATACTCAAATAGATAAGATGTGTATTTTGAATACTAGATTTTGTTATGAGTTGAGATAAAGAAAACTTTGATCATTTGAAATTTGGAAGTATAAATATTAACAGTTAAATTTGAATATTGATTTGCTTAAAGAGGTTAAATGTAAAGGTAACTAAGATATATATAAAAATCTGTTGATGAGTGTAATAAATATGTTTTTACTTAGCTGTAATAATAAAAACTATTAGCTTAAATATGAGATAGTAGATATTAAGAGAAACATAGAGGAAGTATTAAATGTTGAAATGAGAAATTTTGGTTACTAAATTTAAGATATTTGGAAATTTACAGAAAATAAGAATTTTATACTGTATTAATTAGTTGATGTAAGATGATGAGAAATAGAATATATTCAAATAGATAAGATGTGTATCCTGGACATTAGATCTTGTGATGAATTGTGATAAAGGGAACTGGGGTTATTTAAAACTTGGAAATTATAAATATTAAATGTTAAATTTAAATATTAATGGGAAACTAAAAATTGGGAAAAACTAATTAGGACATTGATTGTCTATAAAGATTGAATGTTAAAATAACTAGGATATGTATAAACTGCAAATTATTGATAAATGTAAGAAAGTTATTTTTATTTAATTAATATAATAAGAATTGTATTAATTTAAATATGAGACAGTAAATACTAAGAGGAAAAGAGTAAATATTTAATGTAACAGTTTGATATCTGTACTAAAGATACCTGTTTCTGCTATTGAATTATCGATTAACTCAGCCGCCATGTTGCTTTTTAAATATTTAAACTAGAAAATCAATAAAATTTTCTTTTTTAAAAAAAGAACTCTCTTCCATCCTTCAGTTTCCTTGTCTCAAAGCATGACAGATTATATTCTTATTTAAGGAGATTATTCCTGTCTTCAGTTTACTTGTATTATTGCCTTGTTGGATCAAGTTAAAAAATATATGAATACTGAAGCAACCATAATTCAGTACAGTATGATATTTGTTTTAAGAATAAACCAATGCTTGCAAGAACCTAAAGCTTCAATATTTGCAATCACTGCAACAATTAAAAGTACTATTTATAATAAAATCAGTTTTTTTTCTGCACATAGCAGCAGCTGTTACTAGAACAAATTAAAAGGCCCAAGCCAAAACATGCTTTCTTAATAAATGATTCTGAGTTCATTAATCCTGTCATTTCTCATTACAGTCAGGTATGTACTTGCTAGAAAAGCATAGCAGTACTTATGGCCAAATTAACATGACAGCAGACAAAAGGCATCATACATATAAGTCTAATACTTTAAGATTATTGCAAGCTTCTGTCCAGGATTGCACAAAGATGGCTCCTAAAATCCCACTGATTTCAACTAAATTTAAGCAATCCACTCATATATATGACCACTATCTCTGTAAGCATCATACCAGTTGCATCTGAGTCAACCCCAGACCTATGCAATCACATGACAATGGTTGGTTTTGAGAGTGGGGCCTTTTTTATCCTATGCTAGTTTATTTACATGAGCAACTACCGTATATTCCGGCGTATAAGACGACTGGGCGTGTAAGACGACCCCCAATTTTTCCAGTTAAAATATAGAGTTTGGGCTATACTCACCGTATAAGACTACCCCTGTTCCAACGCACACCAAATAAAAATTAAAAAACATCAGATTTGATTTCAATATGGTAATTTTAATTCAAATGCTTATGACATGCAGGTACTTAGCAGGAAAACTGTCACTTATAAACATAAGGCTGTTTGTCATCAAACATGTAA